AACTCCTCAAGCATCAGATGCGTTGAAATGGACCGCGAGTTATTCTTCTAGGTGTGCGGTCGACGTTTCCAAAAGGCAGTCCTGTGAGTGTGGGGATTCAAAACTCAAACTTTTACGGACTAAGGCTTTTACCTATTCGGCTTTTACCTTCGGAGTTTCCATGGCGGTGCTTTTAGTGGCTGTTCCAGTGGTAGCCTTGTTGCAGTCCTATTGCTGCGATACGTCAATGAGAGCAGAATGGGCAGACCTGGGGACCCGTTTTTTTTCGTAAAAACCTCGGTTTCTTCACGACAAAGCCTCGAAAAGGATCTTGGCCCCCTCTTTTTTTTTTTTTTTTTTTTGGCCGGACCCCTACAAAACTTGGCCAGGCGCAGCAGGTACCGCAACGTGCGCGCACAAGCCACCGGTAAGTTGCACAGACAACCACAGAACACTTGGCCCCCTCTTGAAGCTGATTGTACCTGCAAAGATAGTCAGGCCACTGTACGGCCAGGTAGCGCCGCTTGCGCTAACCGCCCGCGGCGACGGAGTTACCGGAGCGCTGCGCTACGCCGCCCTCTCCCGCAATCAACTTTTCTCTTCTTTGACTGCAATTTCTTTCATGTTTTTTTTTTCTCCCTTATTATAAGTTATTTATTATTGGGTATTTCCCATTTTTCGGAACCTAAGGGATCAGATTGCCAAACGTGTCCAACAGGAGGGGTTAAACACAAAGGGTCCAACAATAACTATCCCAAATCACAACGTTCTCACAAGTCGTTGAGTCGTTTGATTGTCCCTCCGGAGGGGTTATGAGCCACATGAAAGGTCCAGTCTGGCAAGTGCTTGCTTGCTAAGGCAAGAGCGTGCAGCAATGGCTCTGTTCGACAAATCCTAGAGTGTGTCAGTGTACGCGCAACCTGTTGCAGGTACAACAAGGTACAGCTACAAGTCGATTGTGAACAGCCAGTGGAAAGAGAACACCCACCGTAACATCATAAAACAGGCATCTTGCCGTTAATGTGTTCCCATCACCGAGAAGCGTGAAAACCCCAGTGAGTGTCCCATGGGGCTAGAATAACCCCATACACCCACCGGTTGGCAATGGACAGTCACAGCTGTTGGGCTGCAGGTTTTATGATCAATATAGAACGGCGACCTTTGCTGCATGATGCAGAGGCCGATGAGAGCCAGCTGGATGCACCTCATCTGTGGTGAATCCGGCACAAAGACACCCACAGTCTTTCTGAGGATGTCCGGCCGGTGGCAGATGTTCTGTGCGAGCGAGGATCTCATGACGCACAACGCAGAGCACACAACTGTGGTGAGAACTGAGAAGTTTCGGGACGAATAAAATATACCGCATCATAGTACAGGGAACCTGCACGGTGGCCGAATGGTACACACATGTAACTGTTGTTAAATGGATCATACGTTCGGGAGGTTGTTGGTTCGATTCCCCACGACTTCATTTCGGGAGGTCGATGGCTCGATTCCCCACGACAATATCACGGGCGGCAGCCAACAATATCATGGGCTGCAGCCTAGCTCAGTCCGTAGAGCACGAAGGCAGCATTCAGGAGGTCGTTGGTCCGATTCCCCACGACTTCCATTCAAACCCCCACGGCCTCCTGCGGCACACTGAGGGCTCATCCGCTGAGATAGTGGGCTTGCCCCCCTAGGTTGGTCTGGTAGGGGCTATGATATGCCTTCGTGCAACGGTAATTATTAATCAAGACAAGATACATATTTGGACCCATAGCTAGAGAATTAAGAGAAGAAAAATTTGCAGGAGAAAAAATCAAATTAGCTAGAGAATTTCTCGGCCTTTTGGCTAAGATCAAGTGTAGTATCTGTTCTGATCATCAGTTTAATATCTGATCCGTGGTCCATTGGGCCATTAAAAAAAAAAAAAAAAAAAAAGAAAAGAGAAGAAAACTTTATAGAAAAAAAGAGAATTAAGAGAAGAAAACTTTACAGAAAAAAAAAATCAAAAAAATGTATCTTTAGCTCCAGAAGTTCTTGGAACTCTCTTCTATAACATTTATTCCAATTTATTACTTCCTGATTTTGAGTTTTAACTTTTAATTAATAAATAATTCAATAATAATAAAATATGTTTTGAAAAACAATGGAACATCGGAGGACTATTCATGACTCAGGAGTCAGGAGGCAATAGCAAGATCAGAAAGGTTGCGTCAGAACTTTGAGCTGTGAATAGTATGAAGTAAAATTGCCAAATAGGGCAATTGGGAACCTGAATTGAATATCTGAATAGCACTGGTTTCAAAAGTGTTCTAAAAATTGGGTAAAATTCAAAACAAAAACTTTAAAAAAGTTAAAAAAACTGAAGAAAAAAAAAAAGTTTCAAGAACCGTTTCTGCAACTGCTTTCACTATTTCGAGATTCGAAAGAGCACGTTGAAAAAAAAATAAAAAAATCGAAGAGTATGTCTATTCCAGCCCGGCTAGTGGCCGCTGAAAAGCTGGATGGAGGGAAACTTCTGTGATGCAAAAAAAAAAAAGCTTCTGTACGACGTCAAGAAATCCTTATCAGCTGCAAAGAGCTAGACAAACTTTCGCATTCATGGTGTGGGAACAAGGTGGGGCCCAACTTGAGGGGAAGCAGCACCTCCTTTACCCCCTTGCAGTTGCTACACCCATCCCGAGTGGAAGTAACACCTGACTCCTAATGAGCAGTACCCCCCCCCCGCGAACCATTATTCTGGAATCCATGAGCCATGGACAAAGTAAGGGGCACATAATGTGGGGAAAATTGCGACAATTGCCGCTTCCACTTGTGCCTGGGAAAGTAGAACAAACAGCACCCCTAGAAAAATCCTAAAAAAAAGACTCTTAAAAAAGAAAAAAAAAAGAAAGAAAGTACTATTCTTGCACCTTCTCCACAGTGTCACAAAAGCCGCCACGATGAGCTCAGGCCAAAGTGAAGACGAGAAACTTGGGACTAGTTCTACTTCCTCTTGTCCCTGTCCCTGGGAAAGGAGGGGGCCAAGTACCGAACGGAAAGGCGAGAGAACACGACGAAGGTTACGGATGGAAGCGCTCAAAAGAGCACTTGCTTGCTTGCTAATGCTCATCACACGGCAATTGTGACAATTGCCGCTTCCAGCTACTGACTGTTACGGCCGTTACCGTGGGTGAAAAGAGAGACGGCAAGCTACTGACTGTTACGGCCGTTACCGTGGGTGAAAAGAGAGACGGCAGAAAAACTAACCGGCATCTAAACAGAAAAAGGAGTAAAAACTTAAAAATTACTAGAAACTTAAAAAGGTGAGGGAGACTTCCTGGAACATTCTGAGTACCTTCTCATGCTACTTACAATTCCGTAAATCTAACGCGCGACCCCGCAACACGGGGCAGCAACACGAATTAGGAACAACAGTAAACTAGTATCATGTGTTGATCATCATCACATGATGTATATCATCATTATCATGTGATGAGCAACACAACCTAGTACCTACCATCATGTGAGCATTGTCGGGAATTAACAAAGTTATCGTGGCGTGCTGAGCATCACAACCTTCTATAGTGTGACGAGCATCGGCAGCTGTGGCAGACAGGTGGTGCTTAGTATTCAATCAAGGGTTATGAAAACAAGGACCCCACTGCAAGGATGAGACCGTGACAGTGCTGTACGAAAAACACTAAACGAGGACCCTGCTACGAGGATGACAAAGACAGCAGTGCATGCAAAGCACAGCTGAAGCAAACTGTGAACACTAATCCCACCCAGAGACAATGCAAGGGAGAGGAAGAACAGATACGACAGCACAGTCGCAACAGCAGTGCATTGCTGACCGTACCGATTTTGTCTTCGGACCTGCTTGCTCCCTTCGTTGTTCCTCGGCAGCCGCCCTCGTCGAACTTGGTTGTTGCTCATCTTTCGTCCTCGTCCATAGCACTCATAGTGCAGCCGTCATACTAATATATTCAGTTGCACTCGGTGATCGTGATTGTCGACAACAACTCCTCGCTTGCACGTCTCAACGATGTCCAATGGCTGTGTGAAACCCCCATCTCATCGTCATCATCATCATCATCATCATCATCGTCATTCAGTCATCAATCCCTTCTGTCCAGTGTGCACTTGATCATGCCAAAAACGGCGAAAGCAGCAAAGGGAGTGATGCCATCAAAGACCATAGTTACGCTGGGGATTATTTCAGATCGTGTCAGGCGAAAGCTGTCTTCAATGAACGTGCATTACGAAGCATCCAACACTGTGCACGCTGGAGTCAAATCAGCGATATGCACCCCTCTATTGCCCCCTGCCTCCTGCATGCTTGTCCCAGAGTGCCGGAGGGTAGAGCAGTTAACAACATTAGCCGCGGCTCACTGCCCATTCGTAGCTGTGCCGGTCTAATGAACCTCCTCCCCTACCACACTTTCCTTGTTCCTTACTCTCCCCTTCTGATCCTAGCTTTACCTTCCCTTCCTCCAGTTCTCCACTTATGTTCCTATGTTGTTGTTTTCCTTGCCAACTGCCCCCCAGTTGAGTGCAATGCGCATTATACACCCACCCACCCACACACACACACAGGAATATTGTTTGTACAAGATTATCAATATGAGCACCATGATTTCAAAACTGCCTATCCTGCATGAGCACTAAACATTTGTACTTGTGTACACATCCCTTTCTCTCTCCCTCCCTCCCTCCCTCCCTCCTCCCTCCCTCTCTCCCTCTCTCTCTCTCTCTCTCTCTCTCTCTCTCTCTCTCTCTCTCTCTCTCTCTCTCTCTCTCTCT